CCGGGACACGAACCACGGTCGACTACGTCGGAGTCCAGCGACATAGCCATTACACCAGCTGCTGGTTCCCTCCTCTTGGAATTTTGAGCACACACATACACACTTGTGCTCGGCATGATTTTCCAGCCACCCGGTCTAGGATTTGAACCCGTCAGCCATGTGGGAATCCAGGACCTTAGCTACCACACCACCATGCGTGTACTTACCTTCAGCCTCCGTTGAGATTTGAACTTGGTAGTGTCGAGGTTGCTTTCTCATCAGCTCCTGTTACCACCTGTGGAGACAGATGCTGCTGGTGTCTGTCGCTGTCAGTCTCGCCTCTTAACCGCACCCACCTGGGGTTGTACAGTGGCCCTCTCTGCAGCTGGCCTCTCTCCTGCTTTGCACCTGTGAGATTTGTGTTTGCTTTTCGAGGTATCATTTTTTCCCAATTGCTGCATATCCGCTGCTCACGGTGTGACTATACCCAAGTCTTTGTTTTATGGTTGATGGACGTGGGGCTGTTTCTGGGTTTCGGATATTTAGGAAAAGCTGTTCTGAATATTTGTGGACCTGTTTTGTGCTGCACATGTCTGTTCTGGAGCGAAGTTGCTGGGTTGTAGACCGTCCATGTGTTTAGCTTTGGTAGATAAAGCCACCCCAGGGGCCACGTGGTTGCACGGCCTGCTGTCTCCCTAGTACTGGGAGTTCCAGGTGCTCCGCCCCCTTGCCAGCCCTTCCTGTGGTCATTCTTTACATCCCGGATTGTGTGCTTGTACTGCAGTTGCGTCACCGTGGTTTTCGTTTGTATTTCCCTGGTGACGATGTTCTTACTGTCACTTTCAGTATTCTCTGTTGTGAGTTCTAGCTCAAGCCTCACCTAGTTGCTATTTCATTATTTCTTAATGGATTGATAAGAATTCTTGCAACGGGCGCCAAGTACGAGCTTCTTGTTGGATTTATGCATGGCGCATGTCTTCTCCAGGTCCTGCCTTTTTCCCTTCTGTCTTAATATTGTCCTTTTCTTTATTATTTAAATTCATGGTCGTGTGTGTGGAAGAAAGAGAAGTATGCTTCACAGGACTCAGTCCTGCTGCAGGACCCCCGTCCAGTCGTCCAGCCTGCCAGGGATCCGCACTTGCACGCATGTGTCCACTGTCTTCTAAGAGGACAGCCCAAGACTCTGCCTGCAGTCTGCACGTGGCTTCCAGCTGCACCACAGGGACTGGCCGGTACTGCTTTTTATAAACAGAGTTTCTTAATTTTTTTTGAAGTCCAGTTTCTTAGTTTTGGGGCTTGTTTGCTAGTTATTACTTTTTATCTCTTATGTAAGAAATCAGCCAACCCCAAAGTCTTCTCCTTTATATTTTTCAAGAAGCTTCAGTGTGTTTTTTATCTTTTCATTTATGCCCACGGTTCAGTTAAAAATTGACTTTGGGTGTAATCTGAGGTAGAAGAAGCAAACTCTTTAAATTCTTCTTCTATCTTTAGGGAGAAATAAAAATGCAATGTAGAATTCTGTGTGTGTGTGTGTGTGTGTGTGTGCCTTTGGGTTGTGTGTGTGTCTTTGGGGGTGTGTCTGTGTCTTTGGGTTATGTGTGATTTTAATCAGAGAGAGATTTGGACCGTCTCTTCCTGCTCATGTTGTGATCCGTCTGCCCCAGCGTGTCATCCACCTGGGACTGTGGCCACACCCCAGTCACGCACCCTGGCCAGCCTAAGCTTCCTGTGTGGCCCTGGCCTACACACAGCGGGGCCCGCCTGCTCACAGCACTGCAGCTGGGCCTTTGTTTTCTATCTCCTTAACATTTCTGGTTTCACATCTAGCTTTAAACTTAATTGTCTTGGCAGACCCTTGTTATTAGGTCATTGAGAAAGTCATGACGTATTTTTCTATGTTTTCTGTGCAAAAATATGTTATGACCTTCCCGATGACCTAATAGAATTCTTTATATCCTGAGAAAGGGTACCTTGAGATGTTTTCTTGGAAGTTCGTCCCAGTGAATTTAGTTAATTCTTGATTTTAATTACTCTTATTACCGATACAGTGAGAACGAATTCTTTAACACTTCTGGTGGTTCTACGTTTCGTTATCTTCCAGAAGTCTCTTTTGTAAACACTTACTACTCTATCAGATAAACAGTCTCCAAAACTCTTCTTCCATTTATTTTTGTTTTAAAAGTCTTCTGTTTACATTCACAGTGCACATGTGTCCATGCCCATGTGAGAGAGAAAGCGAGCGGCGAGGGCGACTCAGGCCTCCGCCCGGCCTCTCTGCACGTGCCCGGCCACAGCACCTCTCATCTAGCACAGAGTCGGCCTAATGCCAACCCCAGGCCTTTAGACTTGCCAGCCACCAAAATCTCGTGGGGACTTCTGGTATTTCTGTTTAATAACACAGTAATAGACTAAGAGAGTGACGGAGTACTTGGGCCTTTCTCCAGTCATCACCTGGAATTATGAGTTATCGCCCTCAGAGCCAACAGGTGGCGCTGAGGATTAAGGCGCTGGACTCCCACGTGGCCGACTGCGGTTTGAGTCCTAGACCTGGCAGCTTGTTTTCTCACCTGCCCTGGACTCAGTTAGGCACAAGTGCCGTTTAGCAAATTTACATATAATAATACAATGATCAAATTCTTTTTTAAGAAAGAGTTATCGACCACTGTTTCAGCATCCAGCTTCTTTCTCATTCCGTGTCACATTCATGTGGCTTTTGAAAAATGCCATTTTTTGGAACTAGCATACTCTATAAAATAACTCTGAGAACAAAACGGGCACGTCTTTCTTTGTTGTATTAGATAATATCCAGCTCCCCATGTTTCATTCCTGGCTGCCATGGCCCGTGGAGGGCATTTTCGTACACCCTCTTCTTTCTGCCCTTTGGCCAAACCCTTCAAGATGATGAGTAGCGTCTTTGTTTTATGGTGGGTACCTGCCCAGGATAGTTATTGGCAACATGTGATTGAACATTTCCTGCTGGGATTTAGGGCAGGTGATGTATGAAAGGAGCCAAGAAGCAAAATCCTAGATACTGAAAGTGGTCCTCAATTATGAGTGCTGTGCTGGACCAGTACCTTCTTGTAGAAATTGAGGGGACGTGTATCTGCTCTTACTAGCGTCTGGCTGGTTTTACTACCCGAACATTCCTTGAATTTTCTCCTGATATCTAGACTTTGAGCAGTGTGTGTATACCTTGAGACCAGGTCCCTTAGACGAATACCATGAGTGTCTCCCAAGGGCAGAGTGTTCAGGACTGCTCCTGCTGGGCTTTTTTCCTGTCCCCGCTGTGTCGTTAGTGTACAGACCACCGCCCTCCCAGTGGCTGGGGCTGTGTCCTCGCCTGTTTCTGCCTGTCTGGATTTTGCCTAGTGTGTGGTTAATATTTGGGTACATGGTTAATATTTGGCGAGTCAGTCGGTGACTTACAAGCTCAAGGCCCATCATGGTGTTTGGTGCACTTAAGGTAAGGTCCAGTTTTCTATGTCTGACTCCAGGTCCCACTGACTGCAATTATTTTTGGTCAGATTATTGTCAGTAACTGTCTTGTGTTAAGGTGAGGGTTTTGTTACGGGATCCTGATAGGATCTTTTTAGATCTCTAATTCTACATTGTTGGCCTTAACTTTCCCCTGGGAAAATCTGCCCGTCCCTCCCTCCTCTAATCCATCTTCCTTGTCTTTTTCTTATCCCTGTCCATTTCTCTTCTGCACATAGCTCTTCTTGTTTCAGTTCCCTCGTTAGTGATGCGCTCGCCGAGGATACCACCCCAGAGCCTGCTGTCGTTTTTAGCTTTAAGAGTCAGAGTAGGAGGAGACTGTCCTGAATGATTGGCAGATCGTCAGCTTTGAATCGGCACCCCGGTGTTCTGGCATGGAGGCCAGAGTGGGGTATCATCTGTGCCTCCTCTCTTCCTTTGAGGAGGGTAGCGTGATGGCACATGTTGCTTTCGTTATAGAGAGACCGCGTCTGTCAGACGTGTGGGAGCACAGACTCGGTACCCAAGCTCCTTTGATCTGCTCTTCCCACCACACCTCCGTGCCTCTGTTTTCCAGGCCATAGTGTGGCGTTGGTACTATGCCCACCTCTTGGGTACTTGAAGGGCTAGACACCATCAACGCCTGGATTGTAGTCAGTGCTATGTAAAGGATCTGCTGTGACCGTCTATTGATTTTGAGCTCTTCCTGGGCTCTTCCCCCTTGCTCCCATAAATCTTCATCAGGCGGTCCTGTGACCTGGTTGTACATCTGTCTCCTCCATGACACTTAGCTTTTCCAAGTGCAGGATCCCAGTCCTACCACCGTGTCTCCAGGCCCTCACAGTGTTTGGTCTTGTAGTTATTTGTGGAACATGGCATTAAACTCACCCAATGACCAGAGATGTGCAGTAGGTTCATTGGCTTGGAGATAGCTGGTCTGTGTTGCGCCTCGTCACCTGGGAATTAGGTGATCAGGGGACTCAAAGGGCCTTCCAAAGGATGAGGTCTTCGGTTGTGCTTTCAAAATACCCAGTGTGGGCCCCTGTTCTGTCTCTGTTCCCTTCACAACAGCTTCAGTAGTCAAATGAGTATACATTAAATGGTTTAATAAAGTCAAACAAGAATTTGCCCTCAGTAGTTCGCACACTGGAAGTCAGGAAGGCCGAGTAATATGTGAGGGGATAGCATAAGACATTAGTCCTTGACTAAAGTGAAAAGATCCGAGGACTAGATTCCGTCAGTCCAGGAGATCTTAGTAGTTCAATGTCCAGACGTGTGGTGCTAGAATGATCTTCTTTTTCCCCTCAGGATTTGACTGGATCTGAGCTCTACACCCAGGCAGCCAGCCTCCTGCACCCTGTGGTTTACACCACCGCCGTCATTCTGCTCCTGTGTCTCTTCGCCGTCGTGGTCAGTTACACGTACCATCACAGGTGAGAGAGAGCTGCTGGCCCAGGGCAGTGCGTGGGCTCCGATTTGGAAGACTCCACTTCACGTTTAATTGGGATAAAACCAAGTTTGCTACCATCGGTATTTCCTAGGATGCGTCCAAAGGAAGGACTACTTTAGAATACACAGAAGCCTTTTGCAGGTTTTGCTGTTAGAGACGTGAAAACCAGGGCAGGAGGTGGTGGTCAGTCAGTCTGCAGAGTCTGGTCAGCCTGGGGCTTGTCTCTGGAGAGGGAGGTAGGCAGTGTGTGTCGGAGCCGGCCAGGAGCCTCGGGGTGTCCGTTTAGCTGGAGGTGCGTTTTCTGCAGAGGTACCTATGAGGTGTCTCTAGGTATCAGACTCCTGCTCCTTTCATTTTATGACTTCTTGCCTGTTTTGGTATCCTTTGTTTTTTAGATGGCATTTTTGAGAGCATTTGTAGCATTCAGGCATGGGATGTGGGTTTTGTTGATTGGAGGCAAAAACTACGAAATCTTTTATTTTATGGTAGGAAATAACACACAAAAAGGATTTGCTAAGCAAAAATTCACTTTCCAAAAGGTTTTGCCAGTACATACTTTTCTATTTAAGGTAGACATATATGACATTTCTTGACATTTAGTTGAGAAACAAAAGGAAATTTTTGGATTAAAAAAAGAGGAGAGACTTCAACAATTTATTAAGAAAGGTCAGGAGGGAAGCGCGTTGGGCTGTCGGCTCGGGTGCTGTGAAAGTCGGGAGAAGGACACTCTGGTGCAGAGCGGAAATCTCCGGTGGCCACGCAGGTGGTCAGGGCGTCTGAGACACTGCAACAGAAGGCCGTGTTTGGTCTGCAGAGCCCGTTTAACCTTCATGGGCGCAGTGGCTCCGTGAATGACGGGTCTTTATCAATGCACAAAGTTCAGTATTAAACCTTAATGAGTAAAATGAATTCTCAGCTCACGTATGTATCAGGGGTATTGTATGGTGCTGAAATGAAATGTTAAATATCAGATGTTTAAATTGGGCCTTGTACAGGTGGAATTAACTTGTCAGTGGACACCACAGTGCCCTATTGAAATGTGCTAGGCCAGGTTGTAGTATTTTCCTTTCTTTTTTACACAGCTTGATCCGAATCAGCCTCAAGAGCTGGCATATGCTCGTGAACTTGTGCGTCCATGTTTTTCTGACCTGCGTGGTCTTCGTGGGAGGAATAACCCAGACCCGAAATGCCAGTGTCTGCCAAGCAGTAAGTCCGAGTCAGAACCGAAGTGGAAAAAAGATGTTGATATTAGGGGTGCATTTTGTATGTTTCATGAACTGTCAAAGCAAAAATGCTCCCTTCAAGTCTTCTTTAACTAAAGTTAGACCTAATGTCCATCACTTACATGTTTTACCAATACACTTCGGGTTTTGAATGAACCATTTGCAACTGAGTATATACCTTGAGCATCGTGTCCCTTTGTCGTTGAGGATTCAGTACCACTTGTTGAGTCTCTTAAATGTCTGAGCTTTCATTTAAAATATTTATAAAATTCTGATTTGGGTTGAAAGAGAAGGGACGTTTCTAACAGTAAGACTTTTTAAATTAGTTTATGCACTGATAAAAACAGTACGACTTGGTAAAAGATTTAACGGTGGGGTGTAAAAATAAGAAACTAGGTAGGGTTGGTCATTATGAAGAATTCAAAAATATTCAACCCATTTTCAAATACAACATTATATTACATATGGAACCTTAGTAAATAGAACTCTTGCAATGCAAGTATGAAACATCGAAATTCTTGGTCTTAATCTTTTTGTGTTACTGAGAAAAATAGCCAAGACTCATGGTTTATAAGGAAACAGGTTTATTAGATCAAAATTCTGGCAGGTGGAAAGTCCAGAGACACAGGCCTGGCATCAGGCTGGCCTACAGCGTGGCAGGCAGAGCACAGGGTATACAGAGAGAGTTTCTCAGAGCACTCTCCTATAACAACCAGCTTCTGCAGGACCTGTCCTCTTCTCACGAGAGCAAGAACTCAGTGAGTCCTGAGACACGTCACCAGTCAGGGCGTCTGAGACGCTGTGAGTAACAAAAGCCCGTGTGTGGTCTGGAGAGCCCGTTTAACCTTTGTGGGCGCAGCGGTGGAGAATATACACACACGCATATCTTCCACATTATATGTAGTCCAGTTACTACGCCTATTCAGTCTTGATAAAACCTTGAGGTGTGGCTATTGATAATCCTCACACTCAAATGAAACTTAATTTCAGAAAGGTCACATTATTTTCTCAGAAACCACACTTCTAGTAATTCATGTTAATGCTGTGAGTAACAAAAGCCCGTGTGTGGTCTGGAGAGCCTGTTTAACCTTTGTGGGCGCAGCGGTGGAGAATATACACACACGCATATCTTCCACATTATATGTAGTCCAGTTACTACGCCTATTCAGTCTTGATAAAACCTTGAGGTGTGGCTATTGATAATCCTCACACTCAAATGAAGAAACTTAATTTCAGAAAGGTCACATTATTTTCTCAGAAACCACACTTCTAGTAATTCATGTTAATAACACAGGACCCTTTCACCAATTGCTTATCACGGACAGTCAGAGTACTGGACACCTTGCATAGATCACCTTATTTCACCACGTCGCAGTTGCATATTCTTGACTCCCGAGTGTTGGAGATGTTACATGACTCCCCGGTCACACAACAGGTAGGAGATGAATTCCAGTTTAAACCGGACAGGCCTTCTGATTTCTGAGTTCTCTCTCCCCAGCATCAGTATATAAAAGCACAGAATTAGAGCTCAGGTCTTGTAAAACTTATTCTCTGTTCTGGGGAAACTCTCTGGTTACCCTGGGCCTCAACATTCCTCTATCAAACAGGCTTTTGCAAGGGACTCTATAGCATTGCTTCCATGAAAACATGCCTTCAGGAATGTTGTCCAGGAGCCAGTTCTGTGCTGAGTCAAGGATTATCTTGAATATACATTACAGTCTGCGTGCTTCCTAGATCCAAACGCTGGTGTATGGATGGTAGAACTTAGGCCTTTATGCACATCTGTTAGATAGCCTCTATGCACATCTGTAAGATAGCCTCGTTTCATTAGCGGGAAGAGGAGCTGTTGATTAGAATCTACCTTTGTGCTGATTTTGAATCAGACTTTTGAAAGTTATCAGTATTTTTGATCATCCTTAGTGCGAACATGTGTTTTTTGTTTGTTTGTTGGTTGGTTTGTTTTTCCTTTTAGTTGATATGTTCTTCAATCTTCCTTGTAGGTTGGGATAGTTCTTCATTATTCCACTCTTGCCACGGTACTTTGGGTGGGAGTGACAGCTCGGAATATCTATAAGCAAGTCACTAAAAAAGCTAAAAGATGCCAGGATCCCGAAGAACCACCACCTCCACCAAGGCCAATGCTGAGGTACCTCATGTCTGTGTCGGATTGTCTTAATGTCCATTAGAGGTTGCCCTTTGCTTTGGTTGACGAATGGTCACAAATTAGAAGCAGTAGCGCCAGGTGAAGTTCTGGGATGCAAACGAATGGCCTCGAAACCCAGAGTGCCTGATTTGGGACATAGGTTTTGTGTCCTTCCAACCACGCAGCCTTTCCCAGAACATCTCTAAAACGTGCTTCCACTTTATAAAGCACTTATCATGGTTTATCATGGTACTGGGCATATAAAGACTTCATGAAATGTTAACTGTTTTATTTCTGTAAGGTTGTGTGTCACAATCTTACAGAACCTGTGGATTTTAATCTTCTCAAGTAGGTATCAGTGTCATGATTCTCTACCTAAGACAAAGCCAGTTTTGAGTTCTGTCCTTCCTACCCATACAAGAGAAACCGGAAATGAATGCTCATGCTGGATAAATAAAACCTATCAACCATGACTGAATTTATTGATTGCCTGATACGTACCTGGCACTGGGCCAGGGATGTAAAGACTCCTGCCTTTGAAGAGTTTGCAGTCTGTGGAGGAAACAGATGTGTGAAGAGCTGACTGGAAGCTGTGTGAGAACTGTGGAGGTAGTTCTTGGTGCACAGGCAGGAGACGCCGTGTAAGAACTGTGGAGGTAGTTCTCGGTGCACAGGTAGTAGACGCTGTGTAAGAATTGTGGAGGTAGTTCTCAGTGCACCGGCAGTAGACGCCGTGTAAGAATTGTGGAGGTAGTTCTTGGTGCACAGTGCACAGGCAGGAAACGCCGTGTAAGAACTGTGGAGGTAGTTCTTGGTGCACAGGCAGGAGACGCCGTGTAAGAACTGTGGAGGTAGTTCTCGGTGCACAGGTAGTAGACGCTGTGTAAGAATTGTGGAGGCAGTTCTCAGTGCACCGGCAGTAGACGCCGTGTAAGAATTGTGGAGGTAGTTCTTGGTGCACAGTGCACAGGCAGGAGACGCCATGTAAGAACTGTGGAGGCAGTTCTCGGTGCACAGGTAGTAGACGACGTGTAAGAACTGTGGAGGTAGTTCTTGGTGCACAGTGCACAGGCAGGAGACGCCGTGTAAGAACTGTGGAGGCAGTTCTCGGTGCACAGGTAGTAGACGCCGTGTAAGAACTGTGGAGGTAGTTCTTGGTGCACCAGCAGTAGCTCTGTGCCCTCTGCTCCCCGCGAGCTCTGGAGACTTGGTTGTAAGAGGAGGCCCACTCGCTGCTCCGTCCACAGGGCAGTATAGCTCTCTTGCCAGCTTTGGGTGGAAGGTCCAATTTTTTTTTCTCCCCAAAGTTCTTCGCACTTCCGCTTTTCTGTATGTGTTTAGTTCCATGTCAGCTTCCCTGTTGTTTTGTAGATGGGTTTGCAGGAATCCATGGTGGGAGTCTGGGCTTGTTTCAGAGGTTTTCTCCTGTTTTTCTCTTCTGTAGGGGGTTTGAGGAAGGAGAAGTTCTCCAGAGCCTCACTGGCTTCACAGTAGGCTTCTCTGCTTTTACAAGTAGAAACTTCACAAACTACTTCCTGCCTGCTCTCTCCTGCCCCCCAGTGGTCCAGCCTGGTTCATTCCTCTGTGGGAGAGGGATGCTCATAGGCAGTGGCCTCATCCCTTAGGCAGTAGCTCATCCCAGGTACTGTAGGCTGAAAAGGTGCTGTCAGTGGGTCCTCTCTTAGTCAGCGGCCATGTTGCCCTGACTCACCCCAGCCTCTGTGGTCCTGATACATCAGTCACTGAACTGAGAAGCTGAGCCTGGGAAGTGGAATGTGAGATTGTAGCAACGGCACCAGTGGGTGGCCCTGGGGGACCCTGGGTGGTGGGGGGGATGGGGGCCGGTTAGCCTGTGAGATTTTAAAGTCCACTTTGTAATGGACCTGTTTTCTACTTCACTAGCTGAATCTCAAAGAAGCCGGTTCTTCTAAAAAATATGTAAGCCAAACCACACCCGAGTAGTGAATGTAACTTTGCCTGTCCACAGGGTGGCAGGAGCTGATAAGCTTTTCTCAGCTTGGGAACATACCAGACCTTGTACTTTAGAAAAAGAAAGAATAAAAATAAAAAAGCAGGCTCCAAAAGATACCTCTCACCTATTAGTGGGATGGATGATAATCAATACTTAAAGAATGACTTTTGACTTGCTGCGAGACTGTGATAAATACACCTCAAAGAATGAAATGATGGCCAGCCGTTTCTCCTCCTAGGTTTTACCTGATCGGTGGTGGCATCCCCATCATAGTCTGTGGGATAACCGCAGCAGCAAACATCAAGAATTACGGAAGTCGGCCAAATGCACCCTAGTGAGTATTTTGTATTCCTTCTGTACCTGACCCAATTGCTTCCCTTTTATGTATTTTCTAGACACTCTAGTTTACTGCAATTTTAAAAATAATTGGTTGAAACACACAGCCTCTGATCTGGGTTACCACTTTCTTCCCTAGTTGCTGGATGGCGTGGGAGCCCTCCTTGGGAGCGTTCTATGGGCCCGCCAGCTTCATCACTTTTGTAAACTGTATGTACTTCCTAAGCATATTTATTCAGTTGAAAAGACACCCTGAGCGCAAATATGAGCTTAAGGAACCCACGGAGGAGCAGCAGAGGTTGGCAGCCAATGAAAATGGTGAAATAAATCATCAGGATTCTCTGTCTTTGTCTCTGATTTCTACATCGGCGTTGGAAAACGAGCACACTTTTCACTCTCAGCTCTTGGGAGTTAGCCTCACTTTGCTCCTGTATGTCGCTTTGTGGATGTTTGGGGCTCTGGCCGTCTCCTTGTATTACCCTTTGGACTTGGTTTTCAGCTTCTTTTTTGGAGCCACGTGTTTGAGCTTCAGCGCGTTCATGGTGGTTCACCACTGCGTCCACAGAGAGGATGTTAGGCTCGCGTGGGTCACGTCCTGCTGTCCGGGACGGAGCTCATATTCAGTGCAAGTCAACATCCCGCCCCCAAACACCAGTGGGACAAATGGAGAGGCTCCCAAGTGCACTAATAGCAGTGCAGAGTCCTCGTGCACGAACAAAAGTGCTTCGAGCTTCAAAAACTCCTCCCAGGGCTGCAAACTTACCAACTTGCAGGCTGCTGCAGCTCAGTGTCATACCTCTTCTTTGCCTTTGAACTCCACGCCTCAGCTTGATAACAGCCTGACTGAACATTCGGTGGACAATGACATTAAAATGCATGTGGCGCCTTTAGAAGTTCAGTTTCGAACAAATGTGCACTCGAGCCGCCATCATAAAAACAGAAGTAAAGGACACCGGGCCAGCAGACTCACGGTCCTTCGAGAATACGCCTACGACGTCCCCACGAGTGTGGAGGGGAGTGTGCAGAACGGCTTGCCGAAAAGTCGGCCAGGTAGTAACAATGGACACTCGAGGAGCCGGAGAGCTTACTTGGCCTACAGGGAGAGACAGTGCAACCCACCCCAGCAAGACAGCAGTGACGCGTGTAGCACGCTTCCCAAAAGCAGCCGG